TACATATAATCACATGTGATTAAATAAACGAGACCAGCTATTGAATCATATGTGATTAGATACATATAATCACATGTGATTTTATATACGAGGAAAACTATTGAATAAAAAACATAAAATCATATGTGATTAAATACATATACTCACATTTAATTATATACATGAGAACAAGTATTGATAAAAAACGAGAAAATGAATATTGTCCATAAGAATCATATGTGATTAAATAAATATAATAATAGGTTATTATATGTATACGATATGATTTATGTGGAAAAGCTTTATTTTTGTGTTTTTGATTCAATAGTTGTTCTCGTATATTTAATCACATTTGATTATATGTATCTAATCACACATGATTTATATGGACAATATTCGTTTTCAAAGTTTCGATTCAATAATTGTTCTCTTGTATTTAGTCACATGTGATTATATGTATTAAAATCTCATATCATTTATGTGAACAAGATTCATTTTTTCACGTGTGATTAAATACATATAATCATAATAATTATTATAAATAATCACATGAGATTAAATACACGAGATCGACTATTTAATAGAAAACACGAAAATAAATATTGTCTACATTAATAATATGTGATTAAATACATTTAATCACATGCGGTTATATATATCTAATCACATATGATTTATAAGGATACAATTTATTTTCGTGTTCTCGTGTATTTAATCACATATGATTTGTATGAAAAAAATGAATTTTGCCATATAAATCATATGTGATTAGATACATATAATCACATGTGATTATATACACGAAAACAACTATAGAATAAAAAACGTGAAAAGAGCTTTTCCACACAAATCATATGGGACTAACTATGTATAATCATATGTGATTAAATACACAAGACCAACTTCTGAATCATATGTGGTAGGTGGTGGGTGGGGTAGCAATGAGTGGTGATGGTGGTGGAGGCAGGGGAGGGTAGTGAGGGGTGGTGGTGGTGGTTGGTAGATAGTAGTGGGTGATGATGGTCATGGGTGATAGTTGGTTTGTATTGGTTGTAGGTGGTGGGTGGTGGTTATAGTGGGTGATGGGTGGGTCGGTCGTGGTGGTGTTGATGGGTTGGTGATGTCGGTTGGTGGTGATTGGTGGTGGTGGCTTGTGGTGATGTTTGGTGGTAGTGGTGGTAAAGGTTGGTGGGGGTGAAATGTGGGGTGGTGGGTGGTGATGACGATTGGTGGTGATGGGTGGTGGAGACGGGTGGTGGTGATAAGTGGTGGTGGTTATGTATGGTGGTTTTGGTGGGTGATGGGTGGGGTGGTGGTGATTGATCATGAAGATGGGTGGTGGTGGTGGTGGTGATGGTGATGGTGGTTGGTGGTCGATGGTGATGGTGGTAGGTGGTGGTGGTGTTGGTGGGTATTGGGTGGGGGTGGGTGTGGCGGGTGGTGGTGATGGGTGGTGGATGCGGGTGGTGATGATGAGTAGTGGTGGTGGGTGGTGATAGGCGATAGTGGTGGGTGGTGGTGATGGATGGTAGAGGCGGGTGATGGTGATGATTGGTGGTGATTGGTGGCGATAGGTGGTGGTGGTGGGTGGGTGGGGGTGATGGTGATGGGTGGTAGATGCGGGTGGTGGTGATGGGTGGTAGTTGGTTGTAGTGGCGAGTGGTGGTCATAATTGTAGGTGTTGGTCATAATGGTGGGTGGTCGGTGTGTGGTAGTGATGGGTGGTTAAGGTGGGTGAGTGGTGGATTGTGATGGTGGGTGGTGGTGATGGTGATGGGTGATGGTTTTGGTGGGTGGTGGATGGTGGTGATGGTGGTAACTGGAGGCAGGTGGGTGGTGGGGATGGCAGGAGGAGGCGGGTAGTGGTGATGGGTGGTGGTGATGGATGGTGGTGGGTGGTGATGGGTAGGGGTGGTGGGTGGTGGAGGCAGGTGGTGGCGAAGGGTGGTTGGTATAATGGCGGGTGGTGGTCATAATGGTGGGTGGGTAGTAGTGATGAGTTGTTGAGGTGGGTGGGTGGTGGTTGTCCTAGGTTGTGATGGTGGGTGGTGGGGGTAGTGGTGGTGGGTGGTGGTGGTGATGGGTGGTGGTTTTGGTGGCTGGTGGGCGGGGGTGATGGTGGTCATTGGTGATGGGTGGTGGTCGTGGTTGGCGGTGGCGAGTGGTGATGATGATGGTGGTTGGTGGTTTTCGTGGGTGATGGGTGGGGGTGGTGGTGATGGGTGGTGGAGGTGGGTGGCGGTAATGGGTTGTGGGTGGTGGGTGGTGTTGTTATTTGGGTGGTGAGTGATGTTGGTTAGTAGGTTTTTAAATTTTTTTATTTTTATTTTTATTAATATTATTTGATGATTTTAATTTAAAAATTGTGTGGTCCAAATTTGTTCTCAAATATTCTCGCCATAGAAATGTTTTCGATTGAACGCTCATAGATTATCTATCTATCTATATATATCTATTATATATATCTATATAATATCTATATATATTTAATATCTATATATATATCTATATATATATATATAGGTTCAAATGTTCCTGACACACTATTGTGTGCATGTATGCCACCAATGAGAATTCAAGAAAACTAATAAATCATTAAATAAATAAATAAGGGTATAATTGTAATCTTAGTATATTTAATTATGGTAAATGAATAATTCAATTAATATATCCTAAAATAAGGGAATAAACACTACAAAACCTGCAATCATGTATCCCTTCTCAAAACCATATTCCTCTCCATTTGGAGGCGGCAGAAGCGTTGGCTGGATTAGGTCATTTTCCTGCTACAATTTCTGAATCTCGCAGTAGTGAATCAATTGCTGAACGAGTCAAGGACGAGTCTAACTCCTTGTTTGACACGTTTCCGAGTCATTCCTATGAGGTTTGTCACTACTCTAGTAATCTCCCAATTCTTTAAATGTTACGGTTTTTTTACTCCATGAAGAACGTCAAAACATCTGTTTCTTCCTTCACAAAATTACAACTTGAATATCAGAACAAATCTGATTGTTATGAATCAATGACGAACATGAGAAATAACAATTTAATTAAATAGTTTTCGTCACCTTTGATTTGTGTCCATGGCTGTGACAATGACATGACAGAAACATGAAACTGTTATCATGATTTTCATTGGGTTATATACATAATCTTGTACGATTTGAAATTCTTTTTGTCTTCTTTTTTCTGTTACAGAGCAGTGGTCTTGATTAGATATTTCATCTCCAGTACCTGTCTGATTTGCCTAATATGATTCTGTCATGGCCTCCATGTGTTCGATAAAATGTCTCAATGAAAAAATAGTTAATAATCTTTAATTTTTTACTTCGTTTTGTTCCTTATTCTTTTCAGAAATATATAACTTAATTTAGATTGGGTTGGATGCCCTTTTCATAACAATAGGTTGATGCTAGTTGATTTGGATTAAGTTTGCAATTACATTCGATTTCTTCAATTCCGTTTCACTGCTCTTTTATTGTTGGTATTAAATTAGATTAGATATATTTTGGCAAAGTGGATTTTGCTTTCAAATTTCAGTGGATTTTGAATATGTGTATTGCTTAGTGTGTTACTGGAATAAGAAAATAGTTGTATGTACTCTATGTATTCTGTCAGAATTTTATTCTATGTATTCTGTCAGAATGTATTCTATGTATTCTATCATATTTTATGTATTCTTCCAGAATATATTAAGTGATAGGGATTGCAAGTAGCATGCTTTTAACCATTCTTAGTTTTTGTTTTATTTGTGATATGAATGGTTGGAAGAATGCGTTGAAGAATTACATTCTTACGATAATACATCATATTTTCGTAAGAATAGTTGGAATCAAGTCGATTCTTTGGACCATTGAAGAAGATTAAGTGCATTTGTTCAATAACTGTTTGACAAGATGAATGGGTCTGCATTAGTTGCTATCATTGTGTTGAAGACCTAATAGGAATAACTTGAAGAATGAATAAAGTTTGATCATATTCACAATTTTAGAATGTTGATAATTTTTAAGAATTTTATTCATTTTTGTTGATATTCTTTTAGAATATGTATAATTATATTAAAATGTATAAGACTTTTAATCTGTAAGAATATGTATGGATTTGTATTTAACTTTGGATATATAAGAATATATTAGAATGTTGTTATTTTTCAACCTCGGATTCAAGAATGTTGTTAATCTTTAATAATATTCTAATAGCATAAAATTCTGAAAAAACATCATTTTAGCAAAAAAATATTATGACAGAATAAAATCGGTTATGTATACAAATTACGTTAGAATTAAAATTGAATTAATTTAAAAAATTTAGATTTTTAAAATTAAGAGAATTAATAATCCCTAAAAATCCGAAAATTTCCTTTTATAAATGTAGTTAATTGTCCAAAATACTATTTTTGCTAAAATTTGTGTGATTATATGATACATGTTATCCCATTGTAATATCATACACCCTCAAATCATGTCCATTGATTAATTCCATCCATTGGTCCAGATTTGTGCATTCTGACACACAATAATTAATAAAAACCAAATAACCTAAGCCTATATATATATATATATATAATATATATATATATATATATATATATATATATATATAACTTTTTCGGAAAAAAATAAAAAAATTGTATGAAAAATGAAATCAAGTTATAACTAGTTTAATGTATCACAGAAGACCTAAGATCTTAATAAATATTTATATTGTTATTCTATTTTTTCTTACAACTTAATTTATTAATGTTTACGATACAATTTAATAGGAAGTATTTTTAAATTTTTGTTAAAGTTTTTTTGTTTATTTGAACTCGAAACTCATCTTCCCAAAGGTTAAAATCTATTAAATGATATATCCAAATTCATTTTCACTTAACCAATTATGGATGCTCTAATTATCTATGGAAAACCATGATTCAAGAAGACCCAACAAATTTGAACAGTGAGATGTACAAAGCGTGACGGATGCTATAAGTTAATAGATGAACTTCGGGTAAGTTCACGGGAATGGCATATTCATTTCCCATGGCTAACCATATCTTCTCTGTATGGCTCCTCTCTATCTCCCTATCAAAGACACTTCTCGTTTTAGCAGATTCCCATACCTACATAGTCCACATGGACTTATCCGCCATGCCGTTATCGTTTTCTAGCCACCATAGCTGGTTCTCCGCCACCCTTGACTCCATCACCGCCACAACCACCACCACCACTTCCACCGTATCCTCCTCTTCTTCTCCCTCAAAACTAATTTATAGTTATACGAATGCTATAAATGGGTTTACTGCAATTCTTTCTTCATCAGAGCTGGAAACCGTTAAGAGCTCACCCGGCTATCTTTCCTCGGTTAAAGATACAAGAGTTGACCTTGACACAACTCACTCTACACAATTCCTTGGGCTAAACTCAAAATCCGGTGCATGGTCGGTTGCAGATTATGGAAAAGATGTTATTATTGGGGTTGTCGACACTGGAGTTTGGCCGGAGAGTGGGAGCTTCAACGACGATGGAATGGGTGCAATTCCGTCAAGATGGAAAGGTGAATGTGAAGAAGGCTTCCAATTCAACTCCTCTTTATGCAACACGAAGCTCATTGGTGCTCGTTATTTCAACAAAGGCCTTCTTTCGCATCACCCAAACTTAACGCTCTCAATGAATTCCGCTCGTGACACCATGGGACATGGGACTCATACTTCATCAACAGCAGCAGGGAGTTACGTGAAAGGAGCATCATATTTTGGATATGGAACCGGAACAGCCACTGGTGTGGCGCCACGTGCGAGAGTGGCTATGTACAAAGCTGTTTGGGAAGAAGGTGCTTTCGTTTCGGACATTCTTGCTGCCATTGACCAAGCAATTATGGATGGAGTCGATGTAATTTCCTTGTCCCTTGGTGCAGACGATATTCCTCTATACCAAGACCCCATCGCCATAGCCACATTTGCAGCACTCGAGAAAGGTATCTTCGTATCCGCATCCGCTGGAAACAATGGACCTTATTTAAGGTCACTACACAATGGAACACCATGGGTTCTCACTGTTGCAGCAAGCACAATTGACCGTGAATTCACCGGGATATTAAAGCTTGGCAATGGAGTTTCCGTCACCGGTTTGGCTCTTTATCCCGGAAATTTGAATCCAAGTCAGGTCCCAATTGTTTTTGTCGGGGCTTGTGAGAATGAAGTGGAAGCCAATAAAACAGATAGAAAGATTGTCGTGTGTCTCGACAATAATGACACACTTAGCGAACAATTTTACACTATCCAAAGTTCTAATGCGTTGGGGGCTATCTTCATAACAGATAACACAGACCTCGAATCCTTCATGCAAAGCACATATCCAGTCTTGTTGTTGAATCCACAATCCGGTAAAATCGTCATGGACTACATTAAAGAACTCGAGCATAGTGAAGCTAAGGCTAGTATGAATTTCCATGGGACACGTCTCCAGACAAAACCAGCACCAAGGGTGTCTAGCTATAGCTCACGAGGTCCATCCTATAGTGTTCCGATTGTTTTAAAGCCCGATCTCACAGCTCCTGGTTCACTTATATTAGCATCTTGGCCCGATAGCTTGTCATCAGCTTCGATTAAGACAGGAAATGAAGAACTATTTAGTAAATTCAATCTCTTATCGGGGACGTCTATGTCATGCCCTCATGCCAGTGGGGTGGCTGCTTTACTTAAAGCAGCTCACCCTGAATGGAGCCCATCAGCCATCCGTTCAGCCATGATGACTACATCGGAGAATCTAGACAACACGTTCAAACCCATCCAAGATATCGGCGACAACAACAAGCCAGCAACTCCTTTCGCCATGGGTTCAGGCCATGTTGCTCCCAACAAGGCCTTGAACCCTGGACTCATATACGACGTCAACGCTCAAGATTACATTAATCTTCTCTGTGGTTTAAATTATACACAGAATCAAATTCAGACAATCACAAGATCATCAACCTTTAGTTGCTCCAACCCATCATTGGACATAAACTACCCTTCTTTCATTGCTTATTTCGATGGGAATGACACAAAGTCCACGGCTAAAGTTGTCAAAGAGTTTAAGAGAACAGTGACTTATGTTGGGGTCGGACGTTCAACGTTCACTGCGAAACTAACGTCTATTAGTGGCTTAAATGTTACTGTCACGCCTAAAAAACTGAGTTTCCAGTCAAAGAATGAGAAGAAAAGCTACAAGTTACGAATAGAAGGGCCGACTACTATTCAAGATCAAGTTGTGTACGGTTTCTTAAGTTGGATAGAGAGCGCAAGAAAGATTGTCGTAAGAAGTCCGATTGTGGCAACAAGCCTAGCAAGCACAGTAGGCACATTCTAATTATTTGGGATATGAAAGAAAGAAATTTGTCTTAATTGTTGTCGCTACAAGCCTAAAAGGCACAGCAGACACATATTAATAATATTATCATAATAGATATTGAAATAGTTTGCTTATTCTTAATAAAGAAATAACGATATGATTGGTTTCAAAAGATTCCTTATGTCGTAACTCTATCATGCAAGACTTTTGTTATCGAGGTTGACGTGAGCCAAAAAAATAATGAATTGTTGTTGTGATAGGTTTAATTATGGAATAGCGATGAATTGTGGTTGTGATAGGATTAAATTATGGGATGGTAAGGGATACTAACAAAATGAGAGGTTGTCATCGCTCTTTAATCATTTTTTTTTGTTAAACAAAAATTAACAATTTTTTTTTCCAAATTGGTGTGCAATATGGCATTATCTTTCATTAAAAAAATGAAAGGTTGTCATCGCTCTTTAATCACTTATTCACTTCCTTTCACAAAATAGATAAGTAAGGAACATTTCTAGAGCCCAATCCATCAATTTTTGAAGGCCTTATGTGAAGATTAAAATGAACTCCTAAATAAAATTGTCTATATATAATTCGTGATGGAAAACTACAAAGTGATTAATATTAATTAAAAATAGACAAATACAAATTTATAAACGTTGACGATTAAATACATAGCTTTTAGAAACTGATTTAATAAAGGAAATTAAAAGGAGAGCAGTTTATGAAAAGTGTAGCAAAAACCAACGGCTGAAAGTGTAACTTGGATTTGAAAAATAAAAATGATGTGGGGGTATTCGAACCGACTTTGATTGAAAAGGCTCATGTAGAATAATTAGTTTACTCAATTTCCCCAAAATTTTGTTCTTATTTGATTAAAACTAGAAAAGATTCCCCGGCGTTGCCGGGTCGGAAGGTATTGCTTTGTAAAGTAAAGTAGCATGTTGGTTGTTTTTTGTCCGTTAATGTGAGGGTAATTTGGTCTTTTCAGATAGTAGGGACTGAATTTGTCACCATGGGTAAACCATATGGACCATTTATGTAATTTTGGCGGTGGTGGTGGTGGTGGTGATGGCAGATGGTGGGTGGGTTTATGGTATTGGGTGAGTATTTTCTAATAAATAAAACATTAATTTAAAACCAAAAAGAGAATGTTAAATCTGGTAAACCACAGGGACCAATCGTGTAATTTTGTCTAACAATAATAATAATAATGATGAGGGACCATTTCTGACAAAAGATTAAATACTAATAATATGTAATAAAAGGCGAGGGTTATGAAAAATTCAAACCAAAGTGAAAGGGTTGTTTGTGAACAAAAGCATAAAGATGAAGGGTCAATGTTGTAAGTTGGAGGACCAAAATTGACAAAAAAGGTGCCACTTTACTGTTAAAATCTTTCATAACTTTAATATAACCAAAAAGAGAATGTTAAATCTGGTAAACCATAGGGACTAATCGTGTAATTTTGTCTAACAATAATAATAATAATGATGAGGGACCATTTCTGACAAAAGACTAAATACTAATAATATGTAATAAAATGCGAGGGTTATGAAAAATTCAAACCAAAGTGAAAGGGTTGTTTGTGAACAAAAGCATAAAGATGAAGGGTTGTTTGTGAACAAAAACATAAAGATGAAGGGTCAATGTTGTAAGTTGAAGGACCAAAATTGACAAAAAAGGTGCCACTTTACTGTTAAAATCTTTCATATATATAATAATGATAGATATTGATATATTAACTAAATAATTTGGTGAGGAACAAAGGCCTTGTGCGGACGCATATCCTGCAACCCCTCAAGGTTGGGCCTAAAGACTCCCTAAGATAAGTGTTGTATAAAATTAACAAAAGTTTCTTGAAAGGAGAAATTATCTTGATCATAATTCTTCCAAAGTATTATCAATGAAATAACATGAAAGCAACAAAGTATTTATTACATACAAGTATTTCACAATATGGTCTACTTGTTCACTTAGTTTTCACTTTGTATTAGACCTAACAATTTGGTACATGTGACACGAAACGAACATGCCACATGCTTTGTGTTTGGGTATTGTAAATTCATGTTTCGATCATATTCGTCTCGACACAAAGTTGAAATTTGTGTTTCATGTCTTAGGTGGGACAAGCATGAATTTACACGTTTAAACATGTACAAGACAAGAACAGTTTTCCTGTGACACGTGACACATATAAACACGTATAAGACACAAGTAATTTAGTGAAGTCTAGCCTGCTACTTTATGATTTAGCTTGTTTAAGCAACGTACTTTCATTTTTTATCTATATTTTGAAATATAATATGTTAGCTTCTGAAATATAGCATTTGTGTTTTCGTGTTTAAACTCGTGTATAAGTTTGTGTATGTATTCATGTAAATACGTATAAACACGGTTGGAAACATGTTGTATTTGTGTCATGAGTCATGTATTAGACAAATTATTTGAATGTCATGTTCGTGTTTCACATCCGTACACGTTATATAATTTGTTTCGTGTTCATGCCGTCTATTAGCTACCTCTTGCAAAAACCAAAACCCATTCCACTTTTTTTTTACATAATTAAGCTTATATTATTTAAAAACAAGTGTATGCCTACGTATTACGTGGAAAGTGTATTATGAGTCTAACATGTTGTAGAGTAAATGTTGGAATATGTTAGAGTTCATGTTAATGGAGAAAATAATATTGTAAATAAGATGTTTGACAATTTGTAACATCTGATTTCTAGTTCATGGAATCCCGGTGTGGCGCGGTTATGTGTTGTCTGCGGTACGGCCACGTTGATTAAATGAGTATCGTAGTTGCTTGGTTCCCGTGGCGCGGTTGGTGTCTGTCCGCTGCACGGCAGCTGCCACAACCCAAACCCTAGGTGTCTTGTCTTAGGCTCTATTTATAGGATGTAAGGATTAGGGTTTGCTCATTTCACCAGCCTCCATCCTCTCAACTCGAAACCTTATCCTCCATGATATTGTGTTATGTTTATGGAGCTTTTGGTAGTCTAAGAAGCTCTTAACTGTTCAAGGACGGTGTTGCTCCCATCCTCAGCTCATGAAACCAATTTTAATCCTCTTTTATGCATTATAAGTCTGTAAGATCTCAGCTTTATTCGAATTTTGTGCATTGATCTAAGATGTGTATGAGTTGTTGGTCAATTTGGCCTTATGTTCTTGGAGTTTGAGCAACTTTAGAACTTTGGGTGTTAAATGTTCATGTTCATGGACTTAAGGTAGAAGAAAATGTGTTTGCTTGTGTTCATTTCATCCATGCATGAAATTCTGAGCTTTAATGGATTAAATATTGTTAGGGTTTTAGATTTAGTTAGATCTAGCCCTTGGAATGGATAAAGTTGGAAACTTTATCCATTAAGTCACTAAGAAGAATCAAATTTGAAGTTTTGAGCCTTAATCTATAAGGATTAAGTATTGAATTAAGATTTGTCTAGAGGGTCCATGATGCGGCTAAGGGTTGGCTATAACATGGTGACCTAGAGTGTCCACGATTGTATTTTCATGGCGTATCTGCTGCACGACCAACGTCTGGGTCGCGGCACGTTGAGCGTTGACTTTTGACTAGTTTAAATTTTGTTCAACTCTGATGGATTTAGGTCTTGTATGATGCTTAGAAGGGCAATCAGTCTTTTTCCCAATAAAGGGTGCGTAGGTAACCAAGACTCTGTTAGAAAGGAAAGTTAAGTGTTGTAGCTTAATTTATAAATTAAGAATATATGTGTACATTTTGTGTAGTGGCTCAAAGAAGATTTTGCATCACCTAGCTCGGTGTGTAGATATGCCTTACTAGATATTCAAGTGGGTTTTCACGAACTTACTTATTATCAAGGTTGTAAAAATCGTTTGACGTTAGCTAGTCGGTGGACTGGGGTTAAGGGATTAATCGGCTAGGTGGAGATTAATCGTGGGATTAATCGGGGACCATTAATTGCTAATTTGTTAGATTTTAAAAATTAAATATGTCTAATATCATATAAAAGTTCGTAAATACCACTAATATCATAACCAAATAGGTTAATATGATTAATACAACACTAACCATACCTCAAATAGTTTCTATTGAGATATAACTTCTTGAAAGTATTAAAATTTCATCGGGTTCTACTATTTCACTCATTGTGTATGCAGTGATTAATCGCTAGGTGCCCTCTAATCGGTCGAGTAGCGCCTAGGGATTAATCGGAGATTAATCGGGACCTAGTCGGGATTTTTACGACACTGCTTATTATGTGGACTATCTTTTTATACATATTGTGACATCCCCATTTTTATGGTCATTTTAAAACTTTTTTTATGCTTATTGAAAACATTTGTTATTGCAGAATTGGTCCCAAAATATCCTTGACATGATATAATATCAAAATCAATGCATTTCATAAGATTTTATATTTTAAAAGCCTGGGATGTCATAACTGATACAAGAAACATAAGCATAAACAGAGACTTACAGCATCTCAATATACTAACGGTCTATATCTCCTTGAATCTCTCAGCAGATACATACATTATTATCCAAGTATCTTTATTTAATTACTTGTGATTCAAATAAACTGAGTGAGTCAGGTTGGGAAACCTGGTGAGTACATAGGGTTTTCAACCTATAATACTATAGTTAATATGTTTAATTATCAAACAATCAACCTGATTACCCATCCCCATTTTCTTATTTATTCTTCCCCAAGGATTTATCCTAAGGGTCGTCTTAGTCATCGTTGCTGACAATACCTGTTACAGGGATTTCTTCACAATACATGTCAGTAGGTTTTCTTTCTGTTTTCATTCCTAAGGATTTTTCCTAAGGAATAGGCATGAAGTCCATCGCTGCCTGTGTTCCATGGGACTATCGAATTCGCATGAAGTCCATCGTTGTCTGTGTTAATCTAATAGGCACGAAGTCCATCGATGTTTGTGTTTATCTAATAGGCATGAAGTCCATCGCTGCATGTGTTTGTCTAATAGGCATGAATTCCATCACTGTCTGTGTTCTTCTAATAAGCACGAAGTCCA